GTATTTATCTGAGATTAATACTTATGGTGTCAAATAAAACACAAGACCCACAGAAATCCTATGTTTTAATAATTTGTCATTTTTAAAGATGGCCACTGAAATTATTTTTGCACTAAAATTATATGAATCTCTTTGATGTCAAATTATAGCCTACATATTTTGAACCATAGAAATCATTTATATTCTCTTGGTGTGACGTTTTCTTTTTCAAAATGGCCGCCATGGTTATAATGAAGAATAATGTTTGAACTAAAATCAGACAGTTGTTTCCAGTGATGAACTATGCTAACGCTAAACACATAAAAACAATGCGAACCTGCTAAATACACCATTCTCTGAGACGCTCACAGTAAAATCCTCAGCTTCTAATTCTGCTGGATTTTATTGCTGTAAAGTTTTATGAACATGATGAGCAACGAGGAAAACATGACGAGTTCATTAAATCCATTACTTGGTTAAAAAGCTCAGAAAATGGCAGCCATCATGAAAAAATGTCTGTCATCCTGAACTTCTGGTGGGAAGGATGAACGCATCCAACCCGAGGTGTTAGCACGCTAATGCTAACAGCTGCACCAGGACCTGTTTTAGCAGTATCAGCCGGTTTATAGCCCGTCTCCTCTCAGATCGTCCAGATGAATAACTACTTCGGCCTCGGCATCGACGCCGAGCTCAGCCTGGACTTCCACCTGGCCCGGGAGGGAGAACCCGACAAATTCACCAGCAGGTAGCCCGGAGGATCCGACCCGTCTCTGTCTGGTAAACAAACCTCTTATGCTTCTGAACGTGTGAGTGCGACCTTCCTGCCCTCAGGTTCCACAACAAAGGCGTTTACGTGAAGGTAGGTCTGCAGAAGATCAGCGCAGCCGCAGCCTCCACAAGGAGCTGCAGCTGCAGGTGGACAAGCAGCCCGTCCCGCTGCCCAACATCGAGGGCCTCATCATCTCTCAACATCCCCAGGTAACGCGTAGAGACGCACGGCGCCCCCTGCAGGACGGCGCCCCCTGCAGGACGGCGCTCCGCTTCATGTCCTCTCCTCTCTGCAGCTGGGGTTCTGGAGCCGACCTGTGGGGGTCGGAGGCCGACGGCCAGTTCTCCAGGCCGGGATCGACGACGGCCTGCTGGAGGTGGTCGGGGTCACCGGGGTCGTCCACATGGTGCGGTGCCGCCGGGTCGTCTCGGATCGTCTCGGCTTAGAGTCGCTCTGACCTCTGACCTCTGCCGCGTGTCCGCAGGGCCAGGTCCAGAGCGGGCTGCGCTGCGGGATCCGGATCGCCCAGGGATCCTACATCCGCCTCATCGTCAGCAAAGAGCTTCCTGTCCAGGTGGACGGCGAGCCCTGGCTGCAGGCGCCGGGACACATCATCATCTCTGCTGCCGGACCCAAGGTACCGGGGATTGGCCCTGCAGGTAGCCGTAGTTCAATACGGGCCCAGCTGGACCCGGTTGGACCCGGTTGGACCCGGTTGGACCCGGTTGGACCCGGCTGGACCCGGTTGGACCCGGCTGGACTCGGCTAGGCCTGCAGGTTCACTGGTTCCATTCATCCATCATGACCTTTACTTAACCCTTTACCTTGTCCCGGGTCTCTGCAGGTCCGGATGCTCAGGAAGTCCAAGCAGAAGCAGAGGAAGTCTCCGTCCTCCAGAGACGGGGGACACTGACCGGACCGGACCGGACCGCCGGTTCTGCGTCTGCAGCTGCTTCCTGCCAAAGCCGGGAGGTCGGGTCGGGTCCGGTCCGGTCCAGTTCCGGTGGCTGAGATTCCACTCACGTAGCTTTGTAGCCACAGATCCACAGGAAGACAGACGCAGGATGAAGGTTCCACTTCCTGCTGAGTAAGAGGAGGAGGTCAAAGTTCATTCCTGCTCCTAAAACAAAAATAGTCATTCAGGACGAGTGAGGAGAAGAACCGGGTTCATCGGGTTCGAGGGGAACCAGAACCGCTGCTAAGTCGTATCTGTGGATTTAAATAATCTAAACATAGAAATATCGCAGGAGGAAGAGGAGGATGAAGAGCAGCATCCAAACAGGCCGTTTTCTCTGCAGATATCTGGACCGGAACCAGAACCGGGTCAGGTTCTGGAGAACATCCAGAACATAGGCAGTGAGCTCCTGGTTCATCGCCACATTAAATGTTTTGACTGGTTGTCATGGTGATTCCCGCCTTTTGTGGGGCTCATTGAGGAGGCGGAGCTCCAGAACCTTCTGGTTCCTGCAAGACATTAGAACCTCCAGGTCCAGTTCCTCCAGAACCAATGAGGGCGTAGATAGTTCTCTCTGCTCTCTGATTGGCTAGAAACCAGGAAGTCCTCCAGCAGTGGGAGAATGCAAGTCCTATGCTTGAATTCAGACGGTTCTGGATGTTTAACCGGGTCAGAAACAACATCAGTCAGAGCTGGAAAACTGGAGAGCAACTGGAAAAATCCTCAAAGTTAAATTGGGAGAACTGGGAAATTAATCAGAATTTTAACTGGGTTGGGGAAACTCCAGCTTCCTGTGGTCCAGTTAGTCTGGATGATAGTTCTGATGGTTCCGATGGTTCTGATGGTTCATCTGGTTTTGCTGGGTCTACTGGTTCTGATGGGTAGCTCTGATGTTTACTTTTTGCTGTCGTATTTTTCCTATTTTTGGTGCTAGAAAAGTGAAACTCGGGACTTTTGGAGGCCGTTCTGGAGGTTCTGGGTCAGTTTTACTTTAGAATCGTGAAACTGCAGGGTTCTGTTTGACCCGTTTGGTAAATTTTCAGAACTTCTGACTGAAGCGTCTCATCCAGCTTTGAGCTTCCTGAGGGTTCAGGCTGCAGTTCTACTGACTGGCCAGCAGGAGGCGCTGCAGGGGAAACGCAGTGGCCTGAACTGTGGAGCTGATCTGCTGTTTTATGACATGCATGAAGTTCTGTTCGTCATTGAAACAGAACTGAGCGGTTCTGGTTCTGGATTTTCAGCTTCCTGTTGGTCGGCCGGGCCGGGCGGCACCAGAACCACAGAAAGAGAATAAGGTAAAGCATCTTTTATCCCCATGGATACACTGGGATTAACAGGCTGATCAGGGCTCTAATCCAGGAAGACAAAATGTTTTTGGATTTTAAAAACTGAATTTATAATCATCTTGGTCCAAAATGTTCAGATTATGTGAAAAACATGATTATTGTTCATGTTTTTCCAGCCCAGCTGGACCCGACTAGGCCTGCATTTATGTCCAAATTTTCCATCACCTGTATAGTTTAAAGTCATTATTTTACTAAAATGAAACCTGTCCACTACATTTGGCTTTAAGCCGTAAAGAATATCACAATGTCATTTTATAAATTTATAATCTCTGATAATTGGCTTTTTTTCCTCAAGCATTTAATTTAATCTCATTATCATCTAGTTTTAGACTTAAATAATTAGAAATGAGAGAATCTCCAGATTTTCTTCAATTTACAGTAAAAATAATCTGACATTGGAGTTTTATGGAGAGCAAAGAGTGCCAAATTGCAATAACTGCATAGCCGATTAAATCATTACTTAGTGGTACTAATTTATTAAAATAGAAAATAAATCCAGAAACATTTATAAAAGATAATGAATTATTTGTGCCCCAATGAAATGTTTTCAGTTTTAAAAGTAGATATAATTATTCCATGATTTAATAAATGTGTATTCTGCGATGAAGCACATTATGAACTAATTTAAACTATAAATTTGACCCATCATACTCAGAGAGCAGGATCAGGGCTGTTTCTAAAAATAAGTCTTGAAATTTAATACATATGTATTAAATTGCATACATACATTTTTATGTATGCAATTTAATTGAGACACATATAATTTACATTTAATAAATTACTTTGGATTTATTTCTAGTTTTTCATGGTGACACATTTAAATAATTATTTCATAAGTTATTTCTTAAAATTTGGCATTCTCACTAAATGAACACAAAGAGCTCCAGGACAGCAGCACAGGAGCTTGACAACAGGAGAAGTTGATTGGAGGCCCCGGGGCCCCTCAGCGGGTCCTCCTGTTGGCCCCCCCACCGGTTTTCGCCCGGGGCCCCGCTTGGTCTTTATCCGTCCATGCAGTAGTCTTACTTTGCCACACTGCCAGTCGCACAATGGGCCTTCATCGCTGCCAACCTGACGTAGGGTGTTGTTGCTGCTTTGACGTGACGTTTCTGCTTGTCGTGCCTCCGTAGTGGCGACCTGAGGCCCCGCCCCTTTCTGCTGAGAGGTGGGCGGAGCCATGCCCCAGTGCGTTTCGCCTGTGTGTTAGCTGCCTGTGCAGTGGCGTCTCCCCCTCATGTGCCTCTGGTTTCTGTCTGCTCAACACTTTTTACTCGTTTTATGAATAGATGACGTGTTTATTTTTGCAATCTGAAGCTGTTTTGTGTTTTGACTGTAACTTGCACTAAATGACCCTCTTCTATGTGCCGTAAAGGTTCTGATGAGTGTTAGCTGAAGCTAATTATAGGTCATAAATGTATATGGTTGAATAACAGAATGGTCTATGTGTTTATCATAATAAAAATGGTTTAATATGGAAATATGGTTGTTTCTGTTCAATTTTAAGAGGAATGGTCCCATTTTCACACCTTAGTCAGAACTCATTATTCTTCAAGCTTTAAAAGGAAAAGTTAAACATCTTTAGAGGAACAGAGATTTTAACTTTGAATCTAAAAATAATACTGTGATGTGTCTCTCCTCTGACATGTCACAGTTTTCTTATTTGTTTTATTTTATAATTTTCAGGATTTAACACTTTCAGTGATTTTTTTTAATTTTGTTTAATTTTCATCCCAATTTCTATCCTAGTTTTATTCATGTTTTATTCTGTTTCTGTTCTTGCATGTTTTTTTTTTTCCCCACTTAATATTTCAAAACCAGTGATGTGAAAAATAAAAAAACGACAGAGTGAGACCTCCTGACTCTTTGCTGCCCCCTGTGGTGAACCTGGGAATTGGCGTGAGACCTCCTGACTCTCTGCTGCCCCCTGTGGTGAACCTGGGAACCGGGGGAATTTCCAGTGGGGAAGGAACTCCACTCTTTCTTCTCGGTGTCACCTGGAAGTTTCAGCTTTGTCGAGGCAGGACTGGATGAAATATTTGGGCTCTCCACGCAGTGATGGTGTCCCGAAGCTGAGCCCGGTCTGCTCGTGGGTCTGCGTGTTCTGCGTGGGGAGGAAATAATGGCGACATGAGTGAACTGAAGTGAAGCGGAACGAGCCCCAACTGTCACACTTCCACCTGAGCGAGCTGACCAGGTAACCCCATGCTTACTACACATTCACCACTAAAGAGCAGAGCCGCTGGGTCCGAACCTGGTGTCAGAACCGCGCCTTGGACCGGACCGGACCGGTACAGCTCAGCTTGCTTTGTTGTTCTACTTACTTCCTTATTAGCCAGGTAACTTTTTAACTCAGCAGCATTTGGTTGTTTTCTTAAATCCTGAATACAGTCATAAGGGTTAAAGTCACAGTATCTCCAATCTTTGTTATCTAACATTTAATGCGGCTCCTATTTTACTGACAGTAACTTTTATTTTAGCTTCAGCTTAAAACTCTTAGTGTGGCTCAACTGTGTCTTGTTCCTAGTGACTGATGAATATGAGTGATATGACAAAACAATTTAATTAATCCTAACATTACTAACGCCGTATTAATTATCACTTTATTTCATTTCGGTCTAATATAAAAATATCTCTGAATTTATTATTTGTAAGCTGGAATCTGGAGGTTTCTGAAATTAGTAGGATTTTAAATGGAGTTTGGTGGAAGCCTGCGAGGCGCGCTCCCGCAGCAGCGGGGACAGGTAGCGGTTAGCCGTTTCGGCGTGGCAGAGACTCTCGGTGAGGCTGCAGCTCCCGCACCGCTCCTCCCGCCGTAAAGAGACGGCCTCCGTGTCCGTGGTTCACATTATCAGTGGTCACTTCCACGAAGGAAGCAGCAGCAGTAGTCCACGAGTGGGTCGTTAGCTATGTGCGAACGAGGGGGCTAACGCACACGCAGGCACGTTCACGGCATGGGGAAAGCGCAGCGGGGGCGCGCTCTGCTCAGCATCAGGTATCAGAAGAATCAAAGATCAATCGATATTATTGGCTATTGGTCATAAAAATCGGAGAGCAGCGTCACCAGTTACCAGGTATGAATATGCTGTCGTGTTTAATTCTTTTATTAGCTAATTAGTTTTTTATTAACATAAATTAAAAGTTAAATGTTTCAGAAAATACCTTTTGAAATGTCTGCAGTAGTTTTATTTTTCTCTAGCTAATCAATAATTAGTTACTGGGAGTGTCTTCCCAGATTATGGTTGAAATTCAAGAGATTTGATATTTAAATTACTCATGTTAATTCATCTTTGCTCCTCTTGTTATATTTATGATTTAATTTGCACTTTTAAAATACAGATGTTATGTTTCATTGATCTCTCATTGATTGTTATGTTTTGACCCTTCCTCTCCTGCAGGAATCAGTTTCTTAAAAAGTTTTCTCACTTGTGCAGAAGTAAAATTAATAAAATATTTTTTTTTCTTTGTAATTAATACTGAATTAGAAATGGTTTAATAACTTTCCAGGAAGAGTTGTTTTGTTTTGGGCAAGTAAAGTTTGGATAATGACACTAAAGAAAATCTTTTAGTTCAAACTGGGAAATTCCTGCCTGGTAATAAATATGAGTTATAATTAGACTCAGTAAACAAGACAGGAAGCTGCAGAAAAATCACGACTTTAAAACAGAAAACGGTGAAGAAACAGGAATGTCTTCAAACTCAAAACTCTTATTCGTATCGTTTAGCTGCCCAGCTTCAGCATGTGGACAGAGATGTGGATGTTTGATTTTGAATCTGACTTCAAATCATAAATGTGTGATTTCTGCAGACAAGATGGCTGCTGAGGAGAACTACCTGCACGCCTCCAGCCAGGTGAGCTCACCTGCCGCTCACTGCTGCACCACGAGCGACCGAAACTCACATGGGAAATCCTGTTTGAATGGAAAAAGCCACATCAGTACAAGAAATTTATTCATTCTTTTGTTTCCTGTCAGACATTAGGGCAAATATTTCCCTTTATTGCTGATACGATTGTTGCACCAATCTAAACGTTTGGGCCGATATCGACGTTGTTACCGATATTTTCTGCTTCCATCCATTCCTGAGTTTTGAACTTGTAAAACAGAAACTTAGACGTTTCTGTCCGATCCGCAGTCGTACCTGTGCTGCTCCTGATTTCCGATTGGACCAGGAGCTGGGAGGAAACACCTTTCCTCTCCTGAACGCAGAACTGGACGGATTTTACAGAATCATACTCAGAATATCTCAGAGTTTCTGCCCGGAATAAAAAATGTTCATTCAGCAGGCTGAGTTTGCTGTGAGACTGATCTAGGCGCACAGATCTGTGTGAAGGGATGATGACTTGATCAGAAACCTGCTCTCACCCTCTCACCCAGCCTGCTCTCACCCTCTCACCCAGCCTGCTCTCACCCTCTCACCCAGCTTGCTCTCACCCTCTCACCCAGCTTGCTCTCACCCTCTCACCCAGCTTGCTCTCACCCTCTCACCCAGCTTGCTCTCACCCTCTCACCCAGCTTGCTCTCACCCTCTCACCCAGCCTGCTCTCACCCTCTCACCCAGCCTGCTCTCACCCTCTCACCCAGCCTGCTCTCACCCTCTCACCCAGCCTGCTCTCACCCTCTCACCCAGCCTGCTCTCACCCTCTCACCCAGCCTGCTCTCACCCAGCCTGCTCTCACCCAGCCTGCTCTCACCCTCTCACCCAGCCTGCTCTCACCCTCTCACCCTCTCACCCAGCTTGCTCTCACCCTCTCACCCAGCCTGCTCTCACCCTCTCACCCAGCCTGCTCTCACCCTCTCACCCAGCTTGCTCTCACCCTCTCACCCAGCCTGCTCTCACCCTCTCACCCAGCTTGCTCTCACCCTCTCACCCAGCTTGCTCTCACCCTCTCACCCAGCTTGCTCTCACCCTCTCACCCAGCCGACTCTCACCCTCTCACCCAGCTTGCTCTCACCCTCTCACCCAGCCTGCTCTCACCCTCTCACCCAGCTTGCTCTCACCCTCTCACCCAGCCTGCTCTCACCCTCTCACCCAGCCTGCTCTCACCCTCTCACCCAGCCTGCTCTCACCCTCTCACCCAGCTTGCTCTCACCCTCTCACCCAGCCTGCTCTCACCCTCTCACCCTCTCACCCAGCTTGCTCTCACCCTCTCACCCAGCCTGCTCTCACCCTCTCACCCAGCCTGCTCTCACCCTCTCACCCAGCTTGCTCTCACCCTCTCACCCAGCCTGCTCTCACCCTCTCACCCAGCCTGCTCTCACCCTCTCACCCAGCTTGCTCTCACCCTCTCACCCAGCCTGCTCTCACCCTCTCACCCAGCTTGCTCTCACCCTCTCACCCAGCTTGCTCTCCCTCTCACCCAGCCTGCTCTCACCCTCTCACCCAGCTTGCTCTCACCCTCTCACCCAGCCTGCTCTCACCCTCTCACCCAGCTTGCTCTCACCCTCTCACCCAGCTTGCTCTCACCCTCTCACCCAGCTTGCTCTCACCCTCTCACCCAGCCTGCTCTCACCCTCTCACCCAGCCTGCTCTCACTCTCTCACCCAGCCTGCTCTCACCCAGCCTGCTCTCACCCTCTCACCCAGCCTGCTCTCACCCTCTCACCCAGCTTGCTCTCACCCAGCCTGCTCTCACCCTCTCACCCAGCCTGCTCTCACCCTCTCACCCAGCTTGCTCTCACCCTCTCACCCAGCTTGCTCTCACCCTCTCACCCAGCCTGCTCTCACCCTCTCACCCAGCTTGCTCTCACCCTCTCACCCAGCCTGCTCTCATCCTTTTGGTCTGGTTTCTTGTGCTGAAATGAACATCCTGGGAAACAAAAGTTGAATCTCGTGAACAGACCCAAACTGTTCCTGTTAAGTTCCAGTTTCTGAATGAGGTTGTGAATTTTGTGCGGTTCTGTGTAGCCGGACCTGAAATCACAGCTTTTCCTTCCTGTAATCTTTAATCCAACAAATGAAGATTTATGCAGACGAGATCCTGAAAAAATAAAAGTCTTTGGGTTTCAAATGAATCTACAAAAACTTGTCCCTAAAGTTTGCAGCTGGATACAGAATCACAGTTTGTTGTTTTTCCTCCATTTTGGTTGTTTTTCATTCAGAAAGTTTAGGGATAATCTGATTGGGTTAAAAATCCCCGTCTGTGATTGGCTGCTGGCTCGGTTCATTAGCATACAGCTAACGCAGCGAGCTGGTCCAGCAGGACTGCTCTGGGTTCTGTTGCAGCTCCAGAACCCCGGGCGGTTCTGTCGGACCTCAGCTGGGTCTCGTTGCAGATGTTCGACGCCATGATTGACCCGTCCTTCCTGGAGTATCCCCACTTCCACGTCCCGATGCCTCAGATGACGGCTCTGCAGTCAGGTGAGACTCCGCCCTCTCCCGGGTCAGAACCGTTCTACTGCATCGTGTTCTGGTTTATTGGACCAGAACCGGTCTCTGGTTGATTTTTATTTATGCAAATTAAATTTTTCCCTACAAGCGACTTCCTCTTACATCTTAAATATTAAAGTTGTTAAAACAAAAGTAAAAACAGTTTTAGTTCATATTTATTATTTTAAATTATTAAATCGTGTTATGAAAATTTTTAAATGTATTTTGTATTTGCAATTTTTTTTAGTTTTTTAAGATTAGTTGTCATTTAAATAAAATTTAAAATATTGTGGCTCTTTGTACGTAAAACTTTCTATAAACTATATAATTTGTTTTATTGTGTGAATGAAGAATTTTATGTTTCTTCAATTATCCTGATTTAATACATTTATTTTTTGCATTATTTTATATTTCTTTGCTAATTTGACCCATTTTAATATTTATTTTTACTTTGATGGTAGTTTTCTAAGAATTAACAATATTATGTTTTAATAATATTAAATTTTTAACATAAAAAAGCTTATTATTTTCTCTGTGTTTTTTATTTAAATATGAATTATGTAAATGCAGTCCAGGGTCGAGTGACCTCCGCTGTCAGGCTGTTCTGCAGGACAGGAAGTGATGCGATCCGTGTCCGTCGTGTTTCTACGGCCTGGAAGTGAAATGAAGGATGAAACCAGGTTTATGGTTCAGAAACTGCTCAGATTTCCAGTTTGACAGGAAGTGTCTGCTCAGCATGATGCTGCCGCCGCTGAAACAGACGGCAGATCCTGACTGGACCAGAAGTTTCTGCTGCAGCAGAGTTTCGGTCTGAAAACGAAATGATTGGAGGAAACCGGCGGCGGCAAAACGAAAGACGAGTTCATGACGAGGCGGCGGCGGCGCGCTCACTTCCTGTTTCTGGTTTCAGCTGAAGCTGCAGGGGAAACGAGTTTCTGCTGCCGAAGGCCTCCAGGCTGATGATGATGACGATTTATCTCATTATTCATAAGATATACGTAACTGGATAAGTTATTAACGATCGATTGAATAAGAGAGCTTAGATTCATTTATTCGTTTCTATGTCATTTATGTTTGTTCCATAAATAATGGATAAACTGATGAAGACAGAAAGAAAACTTTCTTTTCATTTTCTGCTCTAAAGATTTAAAACCTCCAGTTATCGTCTAAAATGTTGTAATTGTTAATAATAACTTTGACTGTGATTGGTTTGTGTGTTTCAGTGGACGGACCGTTCCTGCAGATCCTGGAGCAGCCCAAACAGGTGAGCAACTCAAACAGGAAGTCCTCTCACCTGGACAGGAAGTCCTCTCACCTGGACAGGACATTCGCTCGGTCTCTCCTCTGACGTCTTTAATGAGATTATTCAGATCTTATTCTGTAGAGATTAGGATGTTAGCACAACGCTAACGGTGACCTCAGCTGCTGCTCCGTCTGGGGGGGTCAAAGGTCAGCTCCATCAGTCTCCAAGATTATAAAATAAATACATAAGAAAATAAGATTTTATTTAATTTAATGAAAATAACATTTAAAATTTCAATTAAAAAGTACAAAAAATTAAGTTATTTACATTAAAGGTTAAAAAAAGTAAAAATATTTTAAAAATTATTTTTATTGAAAATAAGTACAGATAAACAGAAATAAATGAATAAAAAATAAAAATCAAAGAAATTAAAATAAATGTTTATTACAAACAAATTTACATTAAAAAATTCCAAGAGGAAAACTTCTCAGACACCACGAGGTCAAAGGTCAGAGCGTGAAGAATTGTCCAGAAGCCCCAGAGCTGGAGCTCAGACTCCACAGGTTACAGGTTAAAGGTCATGACCCTCAGAGATTAGCATGTTTAGGTGTTGGAAGGGTTGAATTAGAAAACCTCTCTCTCGAAACAAGATGGCCGCTAGACTGAGGTTAGCAAGACGAGCAAGGTCAAGGTCATCCCACCTGCAGGATGACCTTGACTTTTGCCCTCTGCTGTAATCTGAGATGATCTTCGTTGTGTTTGTGTTTCTGCAGCGCGGCTTCAGGTTTCGCTACGGCTGCGAAGGTCCGTCGCACGGCGGCCTGCCGGGAGCCTCCAGCGAGAAGAACAGGAAGACGTACCCGACGGTGAAGGTAACGCTTCCTGTTTGGGCGGCGGCGCAGAGGAAACACTTCCTGAGAGCGAAGCGCTGCAGCGGCTCTGCGGTTCAGAGCTCTGCTCTCTGCTCCACACTGCAGATTCTTAAAGAAAATACCAGACAATAATCACAAATCACCAGAAATGATGAAAGACAGTAAACAGAAGCTCAATCTGCTAGAGACAGATTCGCTCAATTGATCACTACTTTTTTTAAAATTTGTAGCTCGTTGCATTTTCTGAAAGTTTGTCGCTAGCAGGTCTGAAAAGACGGTAAATGTAGCGACATCGATGCTAAGTCGGTCCAAACGCTGGATGGTTGTTTGCGTTTGGACCTTCTGGTTCTGGTAAATATGGGAAACAGCAAGAACAGTTTTTTAGTGTTTCCGGAATCGTCAGTCGGGTCATTTGAAGGTTCTGGACACGTTTCCTGGAATGGATCTTTTTCCTGCTGTTCCTGCAGATGCAGAAAGGCTTACAAGCTTTTATTTTGAAAACCCAGCATGTTGGTAGTACTGTAGATGAAAGCTGAACTCTGGTTCCCCGTCCTCTGATTGTGTTTCGACCAGAGTCAAACCAACCAAACCCTCTGACCAGCCTGTTCCCCTCCTGGCCTGTGGGGGCGCTGCACCGAGAACCACTGAAGGAAACGACACTAAAACCTCTGAAGACACTGAGAGCAACTTCCTGCTTCTCCAGATGAAACAAGATGGAAGCGTCAGAGTTTAGAGTTGGAGGATTTCTCTTTAGTCTTTGGCTGAAGACCAGGAGCCATTTCTGCTGCTAGCGCTAGGCTAACATGTTAGCTTTGGTTGTATTTACCCAGAATGCCCTGCACTTTAGTCCACTTCCTGGTTTTGGAGCGCTCTCTGGTCCACTTGGTGTTCACATATGCTTGTGTCTTCAGTCAGAGGCGTCTTCATACCGCTGTAACACAGACCTCTACAGGAGATCCTCATTGTCAAAGCAAAGATTAATTTTCTTTTGGGATTAAAGAAGCATTTCTGGATTGAGATGAGGTGTCCCTGTTTGTGTTGCTCTGGTAACGTTAATTATTCCCTGTTAATCCGTGAAAACTTTTCGGTCCAATTAGTGAAAAAACATAAAGTTTTTCAAAACGATCGATGAAGAACGAACCCGTAGAACGGATGCGGACCGCATCGGACCCCTGGACCTGTTCACACACACACACACACACACACACACACACGCACACGCACACACACACACACCTCTGCATCTTTCATGTCTGTTGGGAATTTCCTCATTGCGACACCCACAGCTCATCACAAGGAAGCGCCGCTGCGTCACAGGCAGGCAAGGTGCAAAGTTTCAGCTCGGAGATGAAAGCGTGGCGTTGGCGCCGGCGCCCACTCAGGCCCAGAAACACAGTTAACCCTTCGCTGGCGCCCCACTGTCAGGTCAAAGCAGTCGATCGTCAGAACCGCTCAGTCAGCAGAATGAAACGGGACAAATCTTAAAGTCACGGTTAACCATGAGGACGCAGCCTCCTGATGTTGATAACATTCTGGTTCCTGGTGTTGAAGCTGCTTGTTTACAGATGTGCAATGCATCATGGGATTTCAATCTCTGGAAAAGTTCAAGCCTTCACGCCCATCCCACTGGTGGGGTCCATTCCTGGCCCGGTTTGGTTCTCTCAGGTCAGAAACAGAGGAAAGAGTCAAAGGATTAATCAGATGAACTGCTCCATCTGAATGACCTTTGACCCCTCCAGCAGCGCTGATCTCAATCTTTGACCTAGTTCAGGAGCCAAAGAAGAGCGCGATGCTTCGACTTCCTTTTATATTGTGCAAAAACTAAATATGCTAAGATAGTTTACAAAACAAAAGCATAAAAAAGCGATGAAAAGACAATATATTACGGAGCTTAAATGAATTGAAATAGTTAAAGTTGGATGTAAGTCAGTGAAGGCTAGCATGTTAGCATCACACAGAAATACATCAGAAATTTGATTATGTAGTGACGTAAAAACATTTTATTCCCAAATGAAATGAAAGATTTCACCAACCGTAGGTCAGTTTATCCAGCCGAACATGTTGGAGACAGAAATTCTGTCAAAGCCTGAAGGAACAAGGGTCTGAACACCGCTAGCGAGTTAGCTAACATTAGCCAGTTAGCTAATGTTGGGTCAAGTTAAAGTTTATTTCTGTAGCACATTTCACAACAAACACAGCATGACAGATAGATAAATAAACAAAATTACATTTAGTAAAAATAATAAGACAATATAAAATTGGGAAACATACCAAAAGCTAAAAGAGTGAATAAAAACAAAACAATGTTGAATTTTAGCTGCAGCAATTTGTTTCCAGCCTTCTCCTTTTCTCTTTAGCTGGTATTGAATGGCTGAGAAAAAAGATGAAAATAGATGCGAGCAAGTTAGCTAGTGGTAGCAAGTTAGCTAATGCTAGATTGTTGCTGAATGCATTTGGATTATTTCTTCCCCAAGATAAAAAGGACAGCAGGACAGTTTATATAATTAGAATCAATGTGTTCCATGAATAGTATTGTTTTATTATTACTATTTATTATTGTTTATCAGATTCATAGCATGGTCGTATTTTATCCGTATTGTGTCAGAATTCAGCAGACAGACGGTGAATCTAAACGTCTGAAAATGACAATAATGAAGTGATGAAAGCCGTCTGAGTCAGTGAACGCATCACGTCCCAGCCCACCACTCCTGGTCCGACTCCACATCCCAACAGAACCGGGTCAGAAGGTTCTGTCAACGCTTCTGTTAGCTGTTAGCTTTTATTGGCTTCCTGATGATCTGGTTACCAGGAACAGTTTTCAAACCAGCAGAATCTTATTTTGGGGTCCTGGGTTCGGTTCTGGTTCTGACCTGGGCGTGAAATGAAGCTGTGCTGCAGCTTCACTCAGATTTCCTCAGAAACGCAGCAGCAGCTCCTGCATGCTGGTGTTCTGGGTTTGCAGGATGTGAGACGCTGCTACTTTCAGATTTGTCTTCATTTCAGTGTTTATTTTTTTAGCATTATTTAAGCTGATTTCTGCATTTCTCATGTGCAGACAGCCAACTGCAGCTGCAGCGCCGGCATGCTGCAGCTGTGCTGCGGCGCGGCGTGTGAAAAGCTTCAGGCCAGGAAACCCTCAAAATACAGCTCTCGCTCTGATTCCAGGAACCGCGTTCATCTGCTGCGACACGTCGAGTGGCCGACAGAACCAGGAAGAGGAAGTGGGCTTTTTTATTGCAACAGTTGCAGGCAAATATCTGCAGCGGCACGGCTGGCTGTCACACAAACTGAAGGAACAGGAAGAGTTTGTTCTCACGTTTCAGTTAAACAGAGATAGCATGAAAATGAGCATCTGGAAGCAAACAATAAACAAAACAACTAACAGCAGATTCAGCTTCAGTTGAGATTCATGTTCAGACGAACAGGACCAATCAGGACCAATCAGAGCACTGGACCAATCAGAGCAATGGACCAATCAGAGCACAGGATCATCTTTGGGATGTGGTCTGACTCCACATCCCAACAAATTAGCATGCTAACCTCTCAGGTCGAATGTTTTTATATTTCCCATCAGACACTTCAGTTTCAGGAGGATGATATTTTTCAAAATGGCTGCCATTTAACTAATTATCACCATAAAATGTTCCCCATTTTCATAATTTGTATTATTTTAGAGCAGAAATACATTTTCATGGCAACCTATTTGTTTCTGCTGATCGTCTGAGAGACGGTTGGAGACGGTCAGGTTTGTTTTCAGCCTGAATCCATCGCTTCAGCGGTTCCTGATGGTGGTGTAGGTGATAAGTTTCAGTGAGTCATTTGTACCAGGAGAAAGTTTCTCTGAACTACCACAGAGTCTGAATGTGTGACTCATCTGTGGAGTCCAGAATGAGATCAGAAACCTCACTGTCTGATTTCACCAACATTTTCACTCTCGCCGTCATCCACCTCATCTTTTCCGTTGTCCTCAGCCGCCTGCGCTAACGGCGGCGTTCTGCTGTTTCAGATCTGTACTACCAGGGTCAGGCCCGGGTCGTGGTCCAGCTGGTGACGGCGCTGACCCAGCTGCCGCAGCTTCACGCTCACAGCCTGGTGGGGAAGCAGTGCGATAAAGGCATCTGCATTGCTGACCTGCAGTCCAAAGACTCCACCATCAGGTAGAAATCATGGACGTTTCAATTAAATTAATGTTTATTGTTATCAGTTTTGCTGAATATAAAGCTGAATTGCACTGGTTTGGTCTGAATTCCTGGTTATTGCAGCTTCACAGGTTTCCCTTTGACCTCTGACCTGAGATTCGTCTGACAGCAACTTGTTCTGGTGCCAGTTCTTTTGAATGCAAACCAGGTCGCAGACTGAGCCAGTCCCGCCACTTCAGACATTTTGTAGCTTGATAGCAGAGGGTGTGATGATGCGTTTTATTCCCAAACTTATTAAAAGATGTCGGTGGCGAGTTAGCTAACGCTAGCGCCAGAACATCACAGAATGCATTTGGATCATTTGTTCCTCCAGTCAACACAATGCAGATCTGTTTATGCAGTGATGCTATTCAAAACACGACGTACGCTTTAGTCCGCAGGAAGCTAACAGCTAGTACACAGTGCTACATCAGCAGACCAGCTAGCCAGACCAGTTAGAAAGACCAGCTAGCCAGATCAGCTAGCCAGACCAGCTAGCCAGACCAGTTAGCCAGACCAGCTAGCCAGATCAGTTAGCCAGACCAGCTAGCCAGATCAGCTAGCCAGACCAGTTAGCCAGACCAGCTAGCCAGATCAGCTAGCCAGACCAGCTAGCCAGACCAGTTAGCCAGACCAGTTAGCCAGATCAGCTAGCCAGATCAGCTAGCCAGACCAGTTAGCCAGACCAGTTAGCCAGATCAGCTAGCCAGATCAGCTAGCCAGACCAGTTAGCCAGACCAGTTAGCCAGACCAGTTAGCCAGATCAGCTAGCCAGATCAGCTAGCCAGACCAGTTAGCCAGACCAGTTAGCCAGACCACTTCCAGGACGTCAATAATTTCATGTCTGAAAAAAATTTGTTTTGCTGAAACATTTGACTTTGGTTTCCTAACTTGGACCACAACATCGCTGCGAGAAATAAAAAGTTAATTAGCCAGAAGATCATGTTTAGCAGTTGCTCAGTAAATACTGTGATGTAAAAGTTCAGAAAAACCTGAACAGATTGATGGAGACACCTGGGAACTGACTCTGCTCTCCTGCAGACTGCAGGTACACACTACACTATTAAATGATAAAAAGTGGAATTTCCTGACATGTCCCCTTCAAAATAAAAGCCCAGGCGATGATGCCATGAACTTGTGAGCTTCTGATTGGTTACAACATCTGACTCAAAAGGGTTACCGCCTCAAACTCTGCTTCCTGGTGTGGCATCAGGTCCGGAACCGGTCGGCCCAGTTGTGGCTCTGGTTCCACTCGGTGTGGGTCCGACCCGCAGAACCTGACCTGCTTCTGGCTTCCTGCAGTTTTCCCAACCTGGGGATCCTCCATGTGACCAAGAAGAACGTGGCGAAGACGCTGGAGGAGCGGATGGTGGAGGCCTTCAGGATGGGCTACAACTGCGGCGTCGCCATCCACCCGGAGGTCGACGCGCTGCAGGGGGAGGTCCGGGTCCCGCGGGAGCTCAACGGTCAGTGGTTCCGGTCCCGCCTCTCCTCAATAATTGCCGGTTCTGGTTCTGGCCAGCAGAACCAGAGTTACTGTAGAGTTATTCTGTAAAACATTGACAGTAATATTTGTTTGTCTGTCATGGAGGAAATATTCACCTTGTTGTTCATCATGTCATAAACCTTTAGCTCTGCTTTAAACGCTTAGCTAATATGCAAATTAGCTTGCTGATAAATGGATGTGCAAAATAAATTCAAATTCAGAAATACTTCATTGATCCCACAGGGAAATTAAATTAATAATTAATTCCAAGTTAAATATTGATAAACCCAAAGCTCAATATTTAGCGTGTGTACTTTAGGAGACTTAGTTTATATTTCTTATTCTGAAAAACTTTTCAGCTTTAAATAACTTTTTACTATATTTAATTTTATTTTCAGCAGATGTTGATTGCATGCTGTAGATTTGCTGTCATGAACTGGATTGTGTGGATCATAAATCACTTGTTTGCCCATGTTGGTTTGGGAACCGTTTCCATGTTGTGTGCAGACCACCAGCGCAGCATGATCAGCAGCGCCGCAGCCTCTCAGGCCAAAGAGATGGACCTGAGCGTGGTGCGCCTCATGTTCACCGCCTTCCTGCCCGACAGCGACGGCGGCTTCTCCAGACGCCTGGAGCCCGTGGTGTCCGAGCCCATCTACGACAGCAGTCAGTGCAAACCTCTGGGACTTGTTCATTATTGATGATCATTAATGTGGGGCTCAGCTGCTGATTGGCTGATTAACTGGGTTTCATCTGGAAACAACCAAAATGAAAAGGGAAAGTAAAGGGGAGCCAAGCAGACGGAGCAGCGCCTGCTGCCGGCAGAGCGCCGCCTCCTTCCTGTCCGTCTGTCCTCCATTTTCAAGCTTCAGAGTCTGATTGTCTCTGAAGCTGCTCCTCTCTGCTCCTCCATTTCATCACTTAGCATCGCTCTCATGCAGCATTCTGGTATAACCATGAATAATTCTGACTCTTCCTCCCTCAGAGGCTCCAAACGCCTCAAACTTGAAGATCGTCAGGATGGACCGGACCGCCGGCTGCGTGACGGGGGGAGAGGAGGTCTACCTGCTCTGTGACAAGGTCCAGAAAGGTGAGCAGGAGTCCAGCATGTGACCAGATCTGAGCCTGAGGTCCATTAACGAGGCGCCGCAGTCGGCTAACGGGGCGATTCTGGGTTTCCTCCTCTGATTTCCTGCGTCTCGTTCCGGCTGGAGGCCGAACCCTCAGGTCGGTGCCCTCCAGAACCCTCTGTGTTTCATGGTGTGTTTCCATGTGCGTAGATGACATCCAGGTGCGGTTCTATGAGGAGGACGACTCGGGGCTGACCTGGGAGGCTCTGGGCGATTTTCCCCCACAGACGTCCACAGACAGGTCAGTGCTGATGCAGCTGCAGCTGGGAGCCGCTCCGGTCTTTACACCGCTTTCATGTTCTTTGTCAATGTGTTGCCTGACAGTTTGCCATCGTCTTCAAGACCCCGAAGTATCGAGACCAAAAACCTGCAGAAACCGACATCTGTCTTTGTCCAGCTAAAGAGGAAATCCGACAATGAGACCAGCGAGCCCAAACCATTCACCTACCATCCGCAGATCATAGGTAGGCACCTGGTAACACCCACCACCGCCTGGTAACACCACCCCACCCCACCTGGTAACACCCACCCCACCCGCCTGGTAACACCCACCCCGCACCGCCTGGTAACACCCACCTCACCCCACCTGGTAACACCCACCCGCACCGCCTGGTAACACCCACCCCGCACCGCCTGGTAACACCCACCCCACCTGGTAACACCCACCCCGCACTGCCTGGTAACACCACCCCACCTGGTAACACCCACCCCACCTGGTAACACCCCACCCCACCCACCTGGTAAACACCCACCCGCACCGCTGGTAACACCCACCCCGCACCACCTGGTAACACCCACCCACTGGTAACACCACCCGCACTGCTGGTAACACCCACCCCACCTTGTAACACCCACCCCACCTGGTAACACCCCCACCCCACCTTGTAACACCACCCCACCTGGTAACACCCACCCGCACCGCCTGGTAACACCCACCCCACCTGGTAACACCCACCCCACCCCACCTGGTAACACCCACCCCGCACTGCCTGGTAACACCCACCACCTGGTAACACCCACCCACCCCACCTGGTAACACCCACCCCGCACTGCCTGGTAACACCCACCCACTGGTAACACCCACCCACCTGGTAACACCCACCCCACCCCACCTGGTAACACCCACCCCACCTGGCGTAGCTACGTCATTTGGCTCCGCAACAGTGTAGCAAAGTTTCAGTTGTTGGAAGTTTTTACTCTGTGTCGGCGGCCATGTTTCATTAATGTTTGTCTTCAGATAAAGAGGAGGTTCAGAGGAAGAGGCAGAAGACGTTGCCGAACTTCCAGGACTTCAGCGGACATGGAGGAGGAGGAGGCGGGGGGCTGTACCGAGGTGGAGGAGGTCGGCTTCAGGAGTAGGAGGTCCAGGCTCCAGCAGGAGGAGGTGAAGTCAGGTTTGATGAAAACCATAGTGTGAATTATTTCTGGAGTCTGATTATCTGACTGATTCTTCTGCAGGATACTACCAGGGTTTCTCCACCTACAGTTATGGAGGAGCAGGAGGAGGATTCTCCTCAGCGTACTCAGCTGGTCTTGGAGGAGGCGGCGGCACAAAGCATGGTGGGAAATCTAACCAACATCTCCCTGAAATTAGCTGCTTCTCTTCATTTTGTATATGGGCAACTACAGTCTAAACTTTAAATAAAAACTGACACCAAACTGAAATGTTGATAAAAT